AGGTTTACAAGAGAATTATTGACCCGTTCCATGTGCTTGTTGAAATTCCAAGATCCATGCACTTTGATACTTATTTTCGCACCAAGATACTCTCTGGTTATCAAACCATCCCAAGACTTGAACTGAAGTATAATAGTATAAAAAATAACAAGTGCAAATCAGCTTAAATCTGAAGCTAGAATACATAGTCTTCCTTCCATAGAAACAACTTCAGCCTTGTTTATAATTTAATCTATGAGAGAAAACCAAATACAAAGCCAATAGTTCAATTAAAATCTGATGTAACATGAAAGATGCACGTACATGTACATTTTCATTTGAAGTCCTTTGAAATACAAGACATATCAGTTGCAATGCATGACAGCTAATGATCTTTTTCTTTCTTCTCAATTTCTCATTTTGCAAGAGAATTGAAAACAAATAAATGAAGTAATTTAACAATTTCGGTACAGAGCTTGGTTTGGACTTAAATTGAAACTACTAAGGAATTGGAAATGTAAATAAATGTGTCATGGATTCAGACAATAAGCTACCACCAATTTTTATTTCTATAAGCAACCTCATTCTGATATATATCTAATATGTGGCTGGTTGTTGCACTTATGTTTTCTATTAGAAGTATCAATGTTGATGAGTCTTGACTATTCTAACTTAAATATAGGAGGCTATCTTTAGTTATGTAGCTCACGAGTTTTACCCCTATCACTCTCTCTCTCCTCCCTTCTGCATGAAAACCAATAGCCAGTAATTGATTTTCTATCAGTGGGATCTCTAGCCCAATATGAGTCTAAGATAGACACAAGATTAGTGCGCCTATCGTTTTCATATAGTAATCCATGTCATCAAGCACATTTGAGATACCTTTGTATACGTCCAACTGCACCCCAAGGACTAATTCAAGGAGCATCAAGAACTGACTAACTACATTCACCACATATATATATATATATATAACTTTCCCACTAGTCTTTTATATTTCCCAGGGTTTGGTAGCAAGCCACCATGATCTGCTGAAAGCTTAGGGTTCTTGGGAGTTGAGTCTAGACCCTCCCACCTTCCCATTGTTTGTCATAGGTTTGTGCTATAGTTATGTATATGTCTATGCAAATTGGACTGTTGAGGAAGAGCCCAGCCTGATTGATCAACTACTTGAGGCAGTTCATGATGAGGTATTTTAGGTTGGTAAGGACAATGCAAGGTTGCTGCGTGCAATAGCATGTACGTTGAGGTGTCAATTTGGTAAGCCATTCTCATATTCACATACGGTATGGAAATTGGATGATTTGGAAAAGAGATTTAACTTTTGGAATGAGGTCAAAAATGAGACAGGTGTGGTGTGGAATGATGAAGAGGGTAAGCTTTATTCTGATGGATTTTTTTGGGCATACCTTATACAGGTCTGATGAATTATTATTATATTTAAAATTTATGTTATTACATGTTATGTATAGTAATTGAATTATTTGATCTCCTTGTAGCAACATCCTTAGGCCGCACGTTATAGAGAAAATGGAGATAGGCAATGGATGAAGCTCCAACAAATTTTTGCTTCACAAAGGATGCGGAGGCGACCGCATATCATAACTGGTGGGGCATCTTCCATGGCCGGACATAGGGAAGTTATTGTAATCGATGATTCAAATTCTAGCCACGAGAGGAATGGCACTGAATCATCTTCCATTTCATCTCCATTCCCTGGAGCTTGAGTTTATGTAACTCTATGTTTATATTTGAGCGGATGAGTTGTAATAGAACTGATGACATGTAAGAAATGTTTGAAATGTAACTAATGAGTTGTAAGAAATTAATGTAATAGAATTTCTCTTTTGTGTTGAAGATGATTTTCTGGTTTGGCATAAATACTTACCTCTAATTTATTTTGAAAGATGCTTGAATTAAATTATTGCCTCGTTGGTCTTTCACACAAAAGCTGCAGTTTCATACCTCATTGTAAAACTTATGGCTAAGGACCAAGCTGAGAACAAATAAATTAGTTGCTATACTACAGATTTTGAGCAATATTGTGGAAATGCAACATCAAAATTGGAAATATCAGGGCAATTGACCATTACTAACAAAATCAAGTGTCAAAATTACACCATTGTGAGCTGTCCCAATAATAATAAAATAGAAGGCCACTAACAAAGAAATATAAGAAAAAAAAAAACATCCAGCTGCTTTGCCAAGTTGTACACCAAAAGTGCTGCCTGCTATTTCTGGGTAAGGAAAACAAATTCAGGGGAATTGGCTATTATTTTGTAACAAGCTAATTTTCTTTTTGTCTTCCTCTTGTTCCATTTCATCAGTTCCCTAGCAAGCAATAGACATGGAACAGCAAGGAAATAATTATTCCAAACTATACTGATCTAGATCTTGATATGCTCCATCTCCTTGAACCCTATTGCGAAATGGGCTCATTGCTATTGCTTGTACTTGTTCTGGTTTCTAGGCTTATCTGCAGGCTCTTGGCCTGCTCCAAATGCATTTTCCTCCTCCTAATCGATTTAGCTTCTGCAACTTCTTCATTCTTCTGATGCTCAGCTGGTGCTCTTTGCAGTTTCTGATTGCTTGTACCTTCTGTCGTGCACTGGGCTTTTGTTGTTGTTTTAAGCTTCTACTGAATTTAGAGTCCAGCTTCATAGGCCTTTTTCTAGTGCGACTGCTTTGCTGATTTACAATAGGCTGTTAGCACTGGTACTTAAGCTTCCATTTGGCTTTCAAGTATTTGGCCCATTTTAGAGCTGGGATTTCAGAGATTACTGTATTTGGGGTTGCTTCATAGCTGCAGCTATAGGTCTGTGCTTGAGGCTCAACTGCGGAGGTGACTAATTTCATTGAACCAAACATTAGAATGGAATCACAAAACAATGCATAAGTTGCTTATCAAAGCTTGAAAGTTGCTAAAAATATTTGAAAAGTTGACAATGAACACCCTTGCATTTGAAAAATCAATTTTCATTGAAGGATGGCTCCATTTGAACTTTGATTTCTCCAGAATTGACTCCCGCAAGTTTGCTAAGGTGAATTGGTCCACACAAAAGCTGCAAATAGGGTTAACATACACCACTTCTGGTTTTCACCTTCCAATAGAATAGATATAAGAATTTGCACTTCTATTCTACCGTCAAGTGAAGACAAATTCTACAAGTTAGCTTACTGTCAACGAAATTTTGGACAAATTAGAGTCTAAATTTGGTTGAGTTCCAAACATGGGTCTGGTGGATTTTTGGTTTGAGGTGAGAAGGGATTGACCTTGTTCCAGACCCCTATCTCATTTGTTTTGGGAATTATTTAGAGACCAACAATCAGAAAAAGGAAAGATTCATGCAGGCATCCAGTGGACCACCTGGTGAGAAATGGATCGATGAGAGTATGATAAGTTGCCAGAGGACTATAAGCCAACAAGCTGATCCTTTGAAGGTCAATCAATGAGAGAAGACAGGCACTAATAAAATGGAACCAAAACAGAGGATAAATATATTAGGATATAATGACTTATTTAGATTGCTGGCTTCAATTCAGAATTTTTAAGATAGCATAGAACTGATTTTGTCCATCTACATTCAAATGCTTCATTCGAAAGTGTGGATTTATTTGGGAGACAAAGTCCACAAAGACTGGATTTGCTAAAAGTTAACCATTTGCTTCTAATCCAAGTTCAACAAGCATATTCCTCTCCTAGTAACCATTATTAAAGAAAACTTCTCCTGTTTAAGTGAATGACAAAAACTGTTCCACACCCCCCCCCCAAAAAAAAAAAAAAAACAGTTTGACAGTTGTAATTCATTGAATCATTCAACAACTCAGGTGCATTTTAAACAGAATTAGTTCAGAATTCTTTGAATCTCATTTAATACAACTAGTTGTTGTTATGAGAACCAGAAATCTACTAGATAAGGAAAAAGTGAGTAAAAGAAATGAGGCTTCAAATAAGAGAAAGGTAGGCATTTGCATGTGTTCAAATTAATAATTATTCATGAAGTATGTCCTAATGCTCTAAATTTGCAAATCTTTCAAAAACAAATCTAGAATTGCCTTCCAAAAAGGAAACAAATGCATGATATACAAAAGAAATGAAAGAAGGCAAAAATGAAGTTACATCTGCATTTTGTTTGTTTTTTTGAATTGCTCAAGTATTTGCTTCCTCCAGCCTCTAAGAGATCTACATAGTACAGTCCTCTCTTGATACGAGACCGATATTCATTAGTAGTTACCAGGTTTGATGTTTCATCCTTGTGGATTCAGTTTCACCACCAAATATTCTTGAATGTGTTTGCATAATTCTATGGCACAATTATATCTTCAAATATCTATGTTAAAACACACATATAAAAGTTCATATTTCATTTTCTTCTTTGCTAAAAAGGGGGGCTCGGTGGAAATATATTTGCTTCTCTAATAACAGCCTATTAGCCAGCAACTTTGTTCTAGTAGATCCAGCCTATAGCACCAAGTCCAAGAAAATTAAAAAACATGTGTGTATCAAATCTCAACAGCAACTTATCTCATGCGGTGAAGTTGCTCGACTATTAGCAAATTTGCTTGAATTTGAGTGGCACAGAGAAGTTAATTTTGTAAGGCTCAAAGTTGCTGCTCTAATGCAGCTAAACAGTGAGGCACCGGGTACTTCTGGTTGTTGGATCCTTCAAGAACCTACCTCTGTTCTTGCAAAAGATGGGATTTTTGCTGCAAATCAACTAAACAAAAACATATTAGGGCAGACGATGTGAACATTAGTATTTTTCTTTAAGGTAGAGTACAACCATCTTTAAGATGTATCTTTGTCTCCCTTCCTTCTAAGAGTGCTCTAACCTGCATGTTTAGTTCAATCACTAACTTTGTCAAAGTTATTGTATAACCAGACTAAGATTTAGGAAAATGTAAAACTGGAAAAAAAAAAAATTAAAGCTACAAAATTATCCAGGCAGTAAAGCTCTCCTGGGGCAGGGCAACCTTGAGCCCCAACTCCATTGCTTCAAATCAATAATCTTTATTATAACTTACAGCTTGTCCTCGCACTCGGAAAGAGGCGTCATCTGTTCCTTCAAGCCCTTCCTTTTACGAATATCAGACACAAGAGTCGCTGCCTGAGAGCCAGCTTCCAAAGGATCAGAGGACATCATGTCCCACTGATCAAACACACACTGTGGGAAGGCCTGTCTAGAAGTAGCTGCCCTGAGTGTGCTTGAGAACCCGAATGTTTCAATAACAGGAAGGTATGCCTTGATGTTATAATGGGGTGTGCCTGGCCTCTGCAATTCCTTAAACACATGGCCACGCTTCTGATTCAGAACACTGTAGGTTCCACCTGCATATTACTAATATGCTCGGTGTAAATTTACAGGCCTTCCAACATCTTCATTATCCATGTCCACGTAAACAAAAGGACGCTGCAATGTAGCATGAAAATAGCTTCAGAAATATATTACAAGCATACCATCAGTGGATCATGTTACTAAGTGATCATGAATTGCCTTTTTCAAAATCAATCTCGGAAGTCTTTCTGTCACTAATCTAGAATTTCCTTCCCATTTGAAGTGGCAAAGAGCAAAAGTTGTATAATGAAAATTCAGATTTATTAAGAATTGATGTGGGGAAACAAAACTTTCGCAGTTCCTAGTTCATTTCCAACTGTTTTTGAGTTTTATATCAAATGGAAAGAAAACAGCACCAATTGCTCTCTGCAGAAAATTCAAAGCTTAGATCTATCACCAAATTGAAGATAGGTTGCTATTCTAGCAATAACTATTGGCAAGCTATAATACAGTACAATGTCAATTTAGTTACGGAAAACATCTCAAACATTGATCTAAGAGGGAAAAGTTAATAATTCAACCCTACATCAGAAGTGATAATTGTTTTGTTAAGTGTAACCCACTGAATGGAAACACAGAATTGACACAATACATTAAATTAGAAAGCACATGGCAGGGAATGACTCATGGAAGGTTGAAATTCAAAACATGATCAATATTACTTTTGGATATTTAACTAAAGGATTTATTGTTGCTTTCTTTTTCCTTGGGTGCTCCTGCATACAATGAGAACAAAGTTTTTTCATGACAACCAGCTGATATTCCCTTCTCCGCACGGTTCTTGCCATCATCCTTTGCTGGAAATAGGCGAAGATTGGAACGCGATCCATCTTTATACATGCCATGAGGCACTTTGTTGTTGTTATGAGAACTCTGTAGATGATCAGGCTGTAGACCAACAACATTGGCTTCATTCATCTGCTCGAATGTTATTTTTGTAAGTTACTGATCATGACCCCCAGTAGAGTCCCTTCTTTCATCCAAACCTCCCATATCAGATATTTGTGCTAGGTCAGACACTTCTGTTAAAGTATGTTGCAATTGTTTTCCATTTCCTCCAAATAAATCTTGTGACAGTACCTTGCCAATCTTGGTAACAGATGTCTGACCCATAGCCTGATTACTACTAGTGGCATCACATTTAAGCTTCTTTGCATTATGCACACAGGGATCATGTTCAGTATCTATACCATTATTATCTCCATGGGACGTCACAAGCAGATTTTCAGTATCTAGGCCACTCCTTCCAATAAGAGAAACTTCTTCCAAGAGGCCATCTGCCTTCTTAGGGTCTGGATAGATCTTGTTTTTCCCAGGTATCAGGATCTGGGCATTACTACAGCTCCCATCACTCTCTGTTCAACTGCATTCAGATCACCAACTTCCTCTGCAAGTTTGGAAATAGGCTGTGTACTAACTGATAATCCACTCATTTTCTTTATACATTTAAGAATTGGATTATGTCCTTCAACAATTGCATCCTTCAGCTGTTACCGAAATCACAGTAGCATTGAGGCAGCCCATGATGCCCAAAAGCCTACAGACCAACCTTTACTCCACAAGCCCATCTGCAGATTCTCCAACCTGCATATTCTGAACTTAAGCCAGATCAGTAGCTTCTTCAGTCCAAAATATATGGTCCATCAGCCTACAGATCACCCAACTGCAGATTCTAAACAGTCCAAACCCATCGGCCAAGAAGCCGTCATGGTAAAAATGGTGTTAATGCCGTCCTCATAAACAAGAAAGCTCATCCCCAATTGACACAAAAAAAATATGAACGAGAGCTGCAAATCACCGCAGCTCACCATTCTATACAGATCTATAGATCACCCAAGTTCTGCACGTGCTGCAGCTCATTTCAAGTTCACCTTCTAAACCATTGAGGCTTGGACCCAAAATGAAAAGGCCAGAATTGTAAAATCACCATTAACAGATTGGACCCAAAATGAAAAGGCTTAAATTTTGTAAATTAGTTCTAAAAACAGATTGACTTAAAACTCAACAATCTAAGACTCAAGCATTACAAATTATGGGGCTCACCACCCAAAAATAAACAGCAACTAAAAGATCAACAAGACACCAAAATCTGAATAGGCGACAAGTGGCAGGAATACCATGAGTGCCATACATATATTGACTTTCAAAGGCATACATAATTACATCTTCAGTCCATACATATTCCAAATTACATAGTTCCATCCATACATCAATACATAATCCAAAATACCAACATTTAAAGTCTTAGTCCTACCATACATTGTCAGAGTCTTATCCTACCATACATTGTCCAAAATACTAATATTAACCTCATCATAGCCCTTCAATTCATCAAACTAAACCATTAAGGATTTGCCTTACAAACACAAGTCTAGCAAAGGTTGGAAGGGAGAAAAAATACTCCAGGTCTTGTTCGCTATGTGCAAGACGTTGACCAACCCTTACCAGATCCCACTCACATAGCTCGAGCAGCTCGCTCAACGCCTCATGTACTTGTTTCCTTGCAATGGACACATCATGATCATGTCCAATGCGCTTAGCTATTTTAGTCAACCTTGCATCGGCCCTCTCACAAAAGTTTTCCAACAAATTAACAAAAAAGGCTTTAGATGAAAAGTCAACTCTTTGCTCCTTCCTGCTTTTACCTTTAGTTGAAACACTTAGAATTGATGCGCTATCACCAATGGACATAGACATATTTGGATCCTCAGCAGAGGCAGACATTTGGGCATTCAAGTTATCTTCATTTCGAGTATCAAGGTTCACTTCAGTCAAGATAGACTCGAAGTCCCGAGCATGCTCCCTAGTGGCTCTATCTCGTCCGAATACCTCACACCAATTGGGATATAACGAAATTGGACACCGTTGAAGACCCTTAAGATGTTTATCAACCTGTAGGCAACATGACCAAATGGCTCCATTACAAACCATAATAAGTAACTATAAAACATATAAATCATTACCTTATATAAATCATTACCTTTCCATAAGCATCCCACACCTCATCGGTCACTTCAAGCATTTTTGTGTCAGGGTTCCACGCAGTCCCACTCTTCCCAATCATAGAAAATAGTTCGACATGTTGACGTTTCCATAACTGGATCTTAGACTCAATATGGGGCCTAGTCCTAATATCAATGCTGGGGAACATGCCAATTATATGTTGTTCCAATTGAGTCATGAAACCTGGCCGACATCCTCCCTCACTCCTCCATCCTTGTGCAACCAACCCTTTCATCTTGTCAAGGAGAGCCTTCTCCTCCAACTGTGTCCACACCCTCCTTGATGACTTCTCAATTCTCTTAGAACTAGCATCAGATGCATTTTGACTTTCAATGTCCATCTACACATATGCCAAAAGTAACAGTGGCGATAAGAAGATTAACATTATACAAATATAACATTGTTGGAAGGGACAACAAATTTAACTTGCTCTTACATAATATATAGCATGTAATACTAACAAGACAAACATACAATCCAAATTCATCAATAAGATAACAACAATAGAATAGATTATGTTTGAAACTTTAAAAAAGAATACATAATTCTAGTCAACAATTTGCCCTCCACTCATTATACATTGCCATTGCTAAGGTATCTCTCCAAGTCATTCACTCTTGAGATGCCTCACACTCGTAATGTACTCTGTAGTGTTGTCAGCATTACCCTCTTCATAATTCTCAGGAATTTCTTGCTCCAAGGGATCAAGGGATATCTCCATATGGATGAAATTGTGCAACAAGGCACATGCCATGATGATGCGGTTTTGAATTTGTATAGGATAGTATGAATTGCTCCTAAGGATGGCCCACCGCATCTTCAAGAGTCCAAATGCTCTCTCTATTGTGTTTCTTGCCTTGGCATGCTTCATATTAAAATATTCCTTGTAATTCTGAGGTGCCACTGTCCCTGGCTCCCACTCCTTAAGGTGATACCACACTCCTCTATAAGGAGCCAGAAAGCCTTGGCCATTTGTGTAGCCACAATCAACCAGATAGTAGTTTCCTACAAATTACAATTGCAACACAATCAGGACAAATTATAAATGATATATAGCCAATAAATACATTCATATTAGGATGTTTGCATGTATATATGCACCAGAAGGCACCTTAAGTCCAGTTGGCCTTGACATTGCACCTCGCAATACTCTCGAATCAGCCGCCGAACCCTCCCACCCAGACAACACATAAATGAAGTTTAAATTTGTATCACAAACACCAAAAACATTAACTTCAAGCTCCCTTTTGCGGTTACGATACCTTGCCTTCACATGCTCTCTAACCCTAACTGATACATATGTCCCATCTAATGCTCCCAAGCATCCCTGGTTAGAATTAATTACATTTTATTTTTTATACACTAGGCATTATATAATGCTACATCAGGTTTAAATGATGACATCTTACCTGAAATGGCCTCCATCGGTCATTGTCACATGCATCATCAATCGAGGTTGGACGTATAAGTAATATACGATGTAACCTCAACACTGCTATCAATACAGAGTCAAAGCACTTACTGACTGTATATCCTGATCGCTTGAAATCAAACTTTATCATTCAATTCTTCTTGTGGTAGCCTAAAATTGCCAAGAACATGGCCACTTTTTTCAATAATGCTTACATATTTATTTCTCATAAGTCCCCCATGTGTTTCCAACAAGGCACACAGCCTACCAAACGCATTCCAACTCATTCTAAGATTGTCCATACAAACTATATCATTCTCCCCAACTATACTTGAGAGATGCAATTTGGGCAGGTATTTTGGGAATCATCTTATATCTCCTACTACCATGTCTCCTTTGATTAATTGGCCGTACATGTGTCTTATAGTAATACCACATACAGACTATGAAAATGATAAACTCCAGTGTAATTTGTTCCATAATAAGCAGGCCTTCAATATTGTGTCTTCTACTGTCCATTGCTAAACAACTGCATAAAAATAGAAAAAATAAAAGAAAGAAATAAATAAAGAAATATAAGAACAACCATCCAAACACAAGAAGATACTTAATAGTCCTCACCCATAAGATATTATTCTATTCAATAAATGTTATACAAATGTTGAAATACCACTTGTTCACATGAAAACAATATTAGCAATCAGCAATTATTAATTAGCAAACTACAATGGTCACATGATCACCTGCTATAACAAGATTACGGGAAATAAAATTACTGCAACCAATTTCAAACAAAAAACAAACTTTATAGAACAACTAATGGAGTAGCAAATGAAGAATATGTCAACTGGAAAGATTATTTTTATAAATTCCCCATCTATGATTGTTATAATATTTTTCTCAAAAAACATAAACATAAAAAATATAAGATAACAAAATAGGAAGATGTGGACAAGATGACATCAGCAGACAGCAAAAGTACAACGGAACTTTCAAAAGTAGAAATTTGTTTCCTGGTTCATTCGGCCGTTGCTATATTACAAATTATGTATTCATTTTGTTTTCAAAAATCTTTCAATTTCTGAAACCTTCAAGGAAGGGAACCTTCCCAAGATGAAAAAGAGAAACGAAAACGTCTTAATGGGAACCTTCATTAATGTGGCATAAATTTTTTCTGCTTGTGAAAATGAAAATGTGGCAGAAATTTTCAAGATGAAATGAAATGAGGCAGAAAATAAATATGCTTGTGATTTCCATTTTGAGAGCATAAAAATTCGTTTGAAATACACTTCTTATTAGCTACAAAATTTGACTAATTCAAGCTATAAGATGAAAAAGAGACGATCCTCGAGTTAAAAGTTTACCAGGAAAGCAATTGTATGATTACGAGCTAGGGCTTTGGAGAAGGCGGTAGAGGAGCTATACCCTAGGGTTTCTGTAGTCTGGTGTACTCGCTAAGGAGAAGTGACAACCAACGAGTGCCTTCCAATAGCTTCACGATGATGCTTTTAGGGCAGAGCACAGAGCTTCAGCTATAGAAAAGTAATGGAGCTTCGACTACACAGGAGAAATATCACGTGATTTCTGCAGCTGGGGTGTTGTTTTTGGTAATTTGGAGTATGAACAGTGAGGGTAGTTTAGTGATTAATGCAAAATAATTCAAACCAGAGAAAGGCGAATACTTTTATCTTTCCCCTTCCCATTACAAATTTATCCGGCTTCCTTTTGATAATAGTCTTATCTCACTCAATTTATCCAGTGTACCAAACATTGGATAAGGGCAGATAAATTATCCTTATCCGCCCTTATCCAATGTACCAAATGCGCCCTAAAAACACATGCTCTCCTACTATAAACTCTAGCCCTCGTCAGCGCTGATCTACATAGGCCTTTTGTCTGCTCTAAGTGGTTAGTAGTCTCTGTTTTGATTAACTAAACCTTATCTATCACATCCTATAGCAAGTCAAGCCTTCAAAGTTTAGCTTCCTCGGCCTCAAACCATCCATATCAGGAATCTGCAGCATCGCCCGTATAACGCCTCGAAGGGTGCCATCTGAATGCTTGACTGGTAAATGTTATCATAAACAAAATCTATTAGTGGCAAATATTGAATCCAGTTACCATTGAAATTCAAAACACATACCCGTAACATGTCCTCTAGAATCTGAATAGTTCCCTCAGAATGTCCATTTGTCTGAGGTAAAAAGTTATGGTTAAGTCCAATTGAATGCCCAGAGCCTCATGAAGGGCTCTCCAAAACCTTGAAGTAAATTGAGAACCTCGATTAGAGGTAATAGACATACATACTCTGTGGACTTTTATGATCTCATTTATATATAGCTGGACATATCAGGAGGTGTTGTACGTCATCTTTACTGAAAAGAAGTGTGTTAACTTGGTCAATCGGTCTGCTATCACCCAAATAGAGTCAAACCCTCTAAGGGTATGAGATAATCTTGTAATGAAATCCATAGTGATATTCTCCCACTTCCATTTTGGTATCTCGATTTGTTGAAGAAATCCAACTGGTCTCTGATACTCGACTTTTACTTGCTAACATGTCAAATATTGGGATACGACATCTACTATGTCTTGTTTTGTACCTTCTCACCAATACAGTTACTTCAAGTCCTAATACATCTTAGTGGAATTATGATGAATGGTATAATTAGAATTATAGCTTCTTCCAAGATAGGTCTCCTCAAATTGCCAATATCAGGTACATATATACGAGTATTGCATCTCAAAATCTCCTTAGTATCAAGCTCGAACTCGGGGTGTTTTCTTGTCTAAATCTTTTCCTTAATTTTTAACAACTTTGCATCCTTAACCTAACTAGTCTTGATAAGGTCAAGTAAGGATGTCTAAACTTGCACATGAACCAACAATACTCCAGATCAATCTATCCTAAACTATACACCTCTTCACTCCAGCTCATGCATCTTTTCTATCAAAGGTCGTCTCACCAGAGTTATGTAAGCCAAATTGCTCATGGATTTTCTGTTCAAATAGTTTGTGCATGAATCCAAACCCCTCCTGACCATCATGATTGCATCAATGAGCTAATTTTCTTCAAATTAATCACTTCAAGCACTCTGAACACTAACCAACACTTAGACATTCTATTACATTATACTAAAGCATCATGGCACATGACCAAAGTGCATAGATAAGTTGAACACAGACACGTGTCGAGCATGTGCCTGTATTGTTTTACATGGGCACATGCTTAACAAAGGCCCCAACTTGTTCTTATCCTAATACTCATGTAATGACTTGAGAACTACTAATCTAACAATTTGTTGAGCCTAAATCACTGACTCAAAATATTTAAACCAAAGTTGTTCCATAGTATTCTTTAGCCTCTTATGTACTATATTATGACTTTCAAGAATCGATATTAGATGAGATATCACAATCTCCCTCACTTAAATACTTGACATCCTCGTTAAGTCACAAATCTATATTTCATATCTAAGTATAACAAGTCTAAAGATCATTTATTCTGATACTATTTTGTCAAAAACCTAAAAACTCCTAGACTAATAACTTATTAAATCTAAATTATTGGCTTAAAATATTTAAACTGAAGTTATTCACAGTAGTATCTAGTCTCTTATATATTATATTATATTACTCTCAGAAATTAACATAAGAGGAATATCACAAATCGATGAAGAAATAACTAAGTCACATGTTACCGAAAAATTCCCTTTCCCACGTATTTGAAGGTAAGGGTGTTTAACCAAATTTGAACCAAACCGATTAGACCATATAACCGAACCAAACCATATAGTATGATTTAGTTTGATATTTGATGTATAGATAAACCGTATAAACCAAACCAAACAAACCATATAGTTTATATATATACAAAACTAAAAATCCTATATCTATATATATAGTATATTTCTATTATTTGACTGTATATTTCTTCTTTTTGTTATCTTTTATATTTATATCCATTCTAATAATTGATTATTTTTCTTTTTTAGAGTGTAATTTATAATTAGTAATAGTGAAATTCTGAAAAATGGTATAAATATATTTATTGTAAAATGTATAATTATTATAATTAATTAATAAATAATGAATTTATTAAGTTAAACATGTTAGAAAAAAATAGATAGTCAATTTTTGAAAAAATTCTATTAATTTTTTTTATAAAATAATAAATTTAATCTATTTTATGAAAATAATAAATTAAACCGAACCATAAACACCCCTATTTGAAGGCATGCCCATTCAAGGTTAAAATAAAAAATTAAAAAAAAAAACATGTTGGGAAATGAATTTTTAAATATTAAAATATGCTTAAAAAATTTTAAAAAAATCAATTCTGCCATTTCTAAATTTACAAAAATGTATTAAAAGGCCGGTTCCGAGGCGAAGAGATCGGGTGAAAAAATTTTGGGGTACAGAAAAGTTCTTAGAGATTGAAAATTCTTTTGTAATGGATTAGCCACGTGCTGCGAATCAAAGATTCTCAAGATGGCATACACGTCAAAAATGAAAACATATTAAGGTAAAATATGGCTAAGTAGACTGCAAGAAAAGTTGGAAAACTAATAAAATAATAATTTATAATTTTCCTTATATCTATAAAACATGAAAAAAATCGTCTATTAAATATCAGAGTCTCGTTTATTGTATTTATCAAACAGTCTAAAAAATTTAATCCTTAAATTTCAAGTGATTCAATAAATTTTAATACTAAAAATACAATATTTAATTCCAATTTTTATCAACCAGACTCCAATTGACAATGGGGTTAGAAAATTACTTGTCATGTGTGTCAGTTAAATCAGAAATGAACGTGAATTCTGTTCAAACACCCTTTTTGTCGTTTGCTGTCTTCCCACAACACAAAACATTGTTTTAAATTTTTTTTTTATTAGATTAAATATGATATATCCTCTTCGATAAATGAGGAAAATAAAAACAAAAAAAAATTATCAAAATATGAAAAGGAAATAAAAAAAAATTATCAAAATATGAAAATCTTACCTACCATATCCCTGTTCAAATAAAAATAATGAAAGGGATCAATTTAAATTATTTTAAAAAAAGAGGAAATGGTTTAATATTTTTATTGAGGATAATAGTGAGATCGTTACTTTTTTCTCGTAAGATACACTTATCATTAAAATGTATAGCGTTTCTCCTCTTATAATTTATATTTTTCATTTACCTTATCTGATTTGGGATTTGTAACACTCTCTTTTATATAAATTTTTTATACTTTTGTTAAAGTAGTATGTATGGTCTTTCGCTATCCTATTTACCTCTATAAAAGTACAGATGTGCTTGTATGTGGACATAATATTATTAAATTAGTCTGTCAAAATTAACTATAATACTACTTATTTCAAGACTATTATATTTTTCTTAAAAGATACATTTATCTGAGTGTACAATATCTTTATTGTAATCTAATAATTCTTTTTTACCCTGTTTGACGCAAAGTCCCTAATAGATAAGGCATAGTCGACATATGTAGAAATATTAGAAACGTGAATATAATCAAATATATTGAGCGCAAGAAATTTTAGAAAACTATTTTGACAGGTACTTGTCGTGATTGTTGTTTCTTAAAGAATTATTGCATTGTTACGTAATAAACTAATCCCAATTTTTTTATTTTTATGATCTGCTGTTTCTAGAACCATTGGTGTGAAATAAGGGCAAAATTGTCTATCAAATCTTAGACTTTTGCTGATCGTAAACTATCTAAAATGAGCAAGACTCTGGTACACTCCCCAAAAGGAGTGTACCGAAACAATACCCTCTGCCCCTGTTAGTTTCTTTAAAAACTGGCAAACTTATTTAAAAAAAATTTGCTTCGCACGCTTTTTAAGACAACTGAAGGCAAAATTTGTTAGGGTTGTACCAGTACCCTCCTTTTGGGAAGGTACCAGAGTGTTCACTATCTAAAATATTTAGTTCTTAAATTTCATTGGTTTCTATAAATTTCCTTTACACTTAAAATTAGCTACCTAAATATTTTGATCCTTATTTTTTTTTAGTACTAAAGATTTCATATATAATTTCAAAATTATAAAATAAGGCCTTAATTAATATGCAGTACTAAAGATTTCATATATAATTTCAAAATTATAAAAAGGCCTTAATTAATATGCAAGAAAAAAGGAGTAATTTGAATAATGCACCTTCCAATTACTAAATTTGATATTTTGCACTCTAGAATCATTTGGACTTTTGCCTTATTAAGGTGCAAAATGTCAAATTTTATAATTTAAGGATGTATTTTACAAATCACCCAAGAAAAAGTGGGCTAAAAAATTAATCCATGTCTTCTGTGTTCGATAAATCAGATAAGAAAAGTAAATCCTATTCAATAACCATTGTTATTTGATATTGTTCTACATTTTTTTGGTTAAAATGAAAAAGAAGTTAATGGTTTTTAAGATAAAAAAAAAAGGAAATAAAATTTGTGGTTGTAAATGATATTTTCCCGGAATTAAGGAGACTAATGAAAGGGGGGAAAATGTTTTAAAAATATTTTTAAAATAGGGCTTTACCAAATCCCTATCTATCACTCTTCTATCTGCAGTTTACAATTTTCCCTCTTTTATTTTATCTGTTTTCTAGATGCAATAAACATTTATCCCCGCAATAATTTGTCATTTGTATATTATCAATTTCCCGTCGCCTTTCCAAGTTAGACAGGAGAGAAGAAATTGATTTAAATAACTAAAACTTAAAAAAGTAAAACTAACACGTTTAACTCCTGACCTGACCTGACGTGGCGGAGCCCATTTCCACCCAACACGAAAGACACCGCTTAATTTTCTAATACACGTTTGTTGCATATCAATTAAGGCTTTATTTGATAAATTTGAAATTGCACATGGAATCTTTAAGAATTAATTTTTTTAGACTGTTTGGTAAATACGATAAACAGAAGTCTGAGATTTAAAAGACAATTTTGCCCATGCTTTAGCGATGGTTTTAGGAACAACAAAACAAAGATAAAGAAAATTATAATTATTATTTTATTAGTTTTATAATTTTTCTTGCAGTCTACTCAGCCATATTTCACCTTAATTTGTTTTTATTTTTGACTTGCCTGCGATCTGGAAAACTTTTGGTCCGCGGCACGTGCCTAATCCATTATCCGAAGAAATTTTGAAGCTTCTACGACTTTTCTGCGGCCCAATCCCTTTCGTATTAAATAAAAACCGATCGACAGCAGAAAGCTGACCACATCAATGACGATAGATTTTAAATGACTTAGCATTTACGTATGTACTCACGACAACCCGGTCTATATATATAGCAATATATCTTAATACCGATTTCCAACACAATTTCAACTCAACACTTCTTCTACCGATCCGACCACCTGACATGGAAATCACTATCCTATACACGCTTCTCACTGTTCTCTTCCTGGCCGCCGCTTTCAAGTTTCTTTCAGCGGCTAGATCTCAACGCCGTAAAAACCTCCCTCCCAGCCCACCGGCTTTGCCGTTCATCGGTCACTTGCACCTCGTGAAGCACCCCGTCCACAGATCCCTCCATGGGCTCGCCCAGAAACTCGGTCCGGTGTTCTCGCTCCGGTTTGGCTCGCGCCCCGTCGTGGTTGTGTCCTCCCCCTCTGTTGCGGAGGAGTGTTTTCACCAAGAACGACGTAGTCCTGGCCAACCGGCCCAAGCTCATCATTGCCAAGTATTTCAGCTACAACCACACTGGCATAGGAGCCTCCCCCTACGGTGATCACTGGCGCAACCTCCGCCGACTCATGGCCATTGAGATTTTCTCGACGAGCCGGCTTAACGCTTTCCTTTCGGTCCGGCGTGACGAAATCAGGTTCTTGCTCCGGAGCCTTAATGCAATCTCCTCTAATGGATTCGCCCGAGTGGAGCTGAAGTCCAAGCTCAACGAGCTCACTTTCAACAACATCATGAGAATGATAGCCGGGAAGAGATACTACGGCGACGAACTGGAGAACGCCGAGGAGGCCGAGGTGTTTCGAAAGCTAGTGACTCAGGTGTTTGCCTTTGGCGGCGCATCAAACCCCAATGACTTCTTGCCAGTTCTGCAGTGGTTCGATTATAAGAATTTGAGAAGAATGTGGGGAGAATTCACAAGAAGATAGATGGGTTCTTGCAGGGCTTAATTGATGAACACCGGAGGGATAAGAAGAACTCCATGATCGATCATTTGCTTTCTTGCAAGAAACACAACCGGAGTATTACACTGATCAAATCATCAGGGGCTCATAATGGTAACTTGTTAACTATTTATTGAAAACTAATCTCTACTTAACACTCATATTTGAAATTAATTAAGTTTTGTGATTTAAATATGTAGGTCATGATATTAGCGGGAACTGACACGTCAGCAGTGACGATGGAGTGGGCAATGTCCCTCCTTGTGAACCACCCTGAGGTGCTGAAAAAGGCAAGAGAGAAATAGATTCCCATGTGGGCCAAGACCGTCTAGTTGATGAACTTGATCTCTCCAATCTCCACTACCTTCACGCAATCATCTCCGAGACCTTCCGGTTATTTCCCGCAGCACCATTGTTGGTGCCACATATGCCATCGGAAGACTGCACAATCGGGGGATACGACGTGCCACGTGGTAGCATCTTGTTGGTCAATGCATGGTCAATTCACAGGGACCCTAATGTTTGGGACGACCCCACTAGCTTTAAGCCTGAGAGGTTTGAAGGTAGGGAGGTGGAAGGGCACAAGTTAATGCCATTTGGAATGGGAAGGAGGGCCTGTCCAGGGCTGGACTGGCGCAACGTATTGTGGGCTTTGGCCTGGCATCATTGATCCAGTGTTTCGAGTGGGAGAGGTAAGTGAAAATCCCGTTGATTTCAAAGAAGGAAAAGGAACAACCATGCCCAAGCTTGAGCCACTGGAAGTCATGTGCAAGGCACGCTCCATAATGAACAAGGTTATAGTTTAAGCAAAAACAAGTGCTCGAGGTGTACATAGTGCATTGTATATTTCTACTTCCTATTAGATTTTTCTGTCTCAAATCTATCTTCCTTGAATCAATCAATAAAACCAGAAATTTATTTACGACCCGCTCAGACTTGTGATTCTACTGTGAGCATACAACTGCTGATTGCCCACCAAAAACAAAACCAATGCACAAGTACCACCGGAAGCAGGGCTACCAACGCATGCGTAAGGACAATCGTCTTTACTTGAGCTCACCATGGCTCCTAACCGTAACACCCGATGAGTATTAGAGATCCTTTTTTCAGTCTAACAGAAATCTTATGTTAACCCATCAGGGAAACCCACTATGGACCTTCGGCTGAAGAGGCTTAGAAAGTTTTCTTTGGGTTGAGAGGATTATATTCCACACTAAAAGACAAAAGATCACCATAAATTGAGATAAAATACAGCTGTAATATGAACTTGGAATCCTTAAAGTGTTCGATGATCAGACAATAAAAACAGAATAAGACATCCCTAATACCTAAAAGAAAGGACAATAAACTGGTCAAATTGCAGCAACCTTATATCATCAGCAAATACAGGAAGATCCCAGATTAGTGTAAAATTATAATGCTTTATAAACAGTCAATAACTTCTGTACATGTGGGAGAGTTTGGTCATGCTTTACTCGAGGTTTGATTGGAGGGTTTTAAATATCCCATATGGAAATTAAAGAAGAAGAAGAAGAAGAAGAAGAAGAAGAAGAAGTTTTTTCGTAAAGCCCTGTAAAGTGAGCTTCTCACGGAATCACTTCTTAGATATCTGTATTTTTTAGAAATAAAATAAAATCTGAAAAATAATTAAAATATTTCCTATTTAAAAAAGTTAATTCTTTTCGTTAATTAAACTAAAATACAAAAGTTAACCAACCAAATGGAGAACATAGCCCGCTAGTGTGGCTGGACATCATTGCCAACTATCATTCTATCGTATTGTTTATCACATTGTTTTCATAGTTTCAACTCTTCTGGATGCAAAAATATGACCAGACTTGTTTTTTTAATTTTATTTTCTATTTGAATAAAGTTATACAATTTGTTTTGAAATTAATAATTCATAAGTACTTGTTTGGTAATTTTTTTCTGAAGTGAAATTATTACAATGTACTCTTGCATTTTGTTTCTTAGTATTTACTAGCAAGAACTCCATGATCGATCATTCGCTTACTTTTTAGAAATCAAAGCCCAAGTATTACACTGATCAAATTATCAGAGGAATCATCAAGTGTTTGTTAAACAATAATATCTAGTAACTGTTCTATCATATGTGAAATTACTTAATCTATGTGATTTAAATGTGTAGAAATTGACACGTCAACAGTAATGTCCCTCATCCCTCATCAAGTCGAACATGATCTATCCAATTTCTACTGTCTTCAAGCAATCGTTTACGAGAACTTCCCATTGCTCTCCCACTGACATTATTGCTGCCGCATATGTCGTCAAATGATTGCAAAATTGGGAGATTTAACATGCCAAGCAGCATCATGTTATTAGTTAATGCGTAGGCCATTCACATTGACCCTAAGATTTGGGAAGACGCCGGTACCTTTTTGCTCCAGAGGGTTTGAACACTACAAGAAAACATTAGGACCTGTTTGGTTTGCGAAAATGTTTTCCCTTTTTATTTTATATTTTTATTTTTTGAAAAGAGTTTTTATTTTTAGGTTTTCAAATTTAGAAAACGTGTTTGGTTTGATTTGTCATTTTCTATTTTCCAAAAATGAAAATAAAAAAAATATGTTTGGTTAACCTATTTTCAATAAATTGAAAAGAAGTACTTAATTGAATGAAATTAAAAGTTTAGAGTTTCTAATAGAGACTTAAGTGAAGAAATCAAAAGTTATAGAGTTTGAAACAAAACCTGAAGAGTTTAGAGACCATATTGAACAATAAAGAAAAGATGAGGGACCAAAACAGAATTTACAAAATGCTACAATCTCGTCTCCTACCTCCAGCCGGGTTGCGATCGGGTTCAACCTGGTCACGATCTAAACTCATGGCCAGATTTGGCCAAATCTAGCACCAAGTAACATTTCATGGCCAGATCTGGCAGCCCCAATGAGTGACTATCGGCTAAGTTACGACAATCAAATGGGAGTTTTGGTCAACCGAGTGAGTCTTGATCATTGAGAATTTTGGATGGAATGAGGAAGCTGAGCTTCAAGAGAGAGACGAAGACGAGGACGAACACCGAAACGAGGGGCCGAGACGAGAGAGAGACGGTGAGAGTAGACACAATCAGTGACTACTAGGATTCAATCTGGTAAATACCAAGGTTCATACGACAACCATTACTTCCTCTGCTATTCCGGGTTCACAATGTGACCATTGCTCCCTTTGCCATTTCAGCTTCCTTGCAAGCATTGAGGGAGGAGCATAGTAGCAACCAAATGATTGATATCAAAAAGGTATTAAAAATGGATGAAATTACACCATTGCATCACGTTTTCTACTTCTTAGTAGAAACAGAGAAAATAACTTTTTATTGTTTTCTTGTTTTAACCAAATTTCAAAATGTTTTCTAATTTTGAAAATAGAAACACTGCACCAAATGTATTTTCAAGTCTATTTTTTGTTTTATTAAAAATGAAAACAGAAAATAGGCAATCCAAATAGCCCCTTAATTTTTTGATAAAATTTTTCACAAGACAAAATTTTGTATGGATTTTTGTCAAAAAGTCCATTGAAAAATCCAAAATTCAAGGAAAAAAACTTTTTTGACAAATAATTTGCCAGAAAATGGGTACCATTCAATGAAAAAGTGACAAAAAATTGGCAATAAGGTGTTTTCCTATGGAAAATATTTTGTCAAAAAAATAAAAATAAAATTTTTAAATTTAAAATTAATTATCCAGCGGACACCATCTATCAAAAATAAAAAATATATTTAATTTACATTAGATAAATTTTTCTGAAAGACTATGTCACTGAAAAATAAAACTAAAAAATTATTTTTTAAAAAATATTTTGACAAAAAGGATTCGTGGGAAATTAAAGATATATTTTTAAAAAATAAAATTTCGCGATGGATGCCAAAAGTAAAATAATTTTTAATTAAAAAAGAGGGTTATTTTAAATATTTGTAAAAATAGGAAAAAAAGTATTTCCAATGGAACAGTGTCAGTCGAAAACAAAAATCACTGTCAAAAAATTAGGTCTTTGAAATTTTTGCTGAATTTTCCGGGACTTTCCAATGGTCTTGACCATCAAAAACCTACCTTTTGATCAACAAAAATTCCCTCATTCCCCATCTCTCTCTTCCATTGCTCCACAAAAAGTGCAGCGAAAAGGGCAAGTTTATATTAATATAATAAATTTTTTACCAAACTAAGTGTTTGAAACATTATTTATAAAAATTGTGATGATTTGCACAATGCACTCTCCAATTACAAAATTTAGCATTTTGCACCCTAAGCCTTTTGGCCCTTTACCTTACTAGGGTGTAAAGTGCCAAATTTTGGTAATTGGGAGGTGCATTGTACAAATCAGTCTAAAAATTGCTTCTATTTAGAAATTGAGTTCTGAGAGCCCGATTTCTTTTTTGAAATCAAAGTATTGAGAAGTTGATTTTCAGTTGGGTCTGCAATTACAGACACGGCACAAGCTACAACCAAAGAGGGAGAAGGAAGGAGCTATACGATCATCATCCTCCAATGGAGTTGGTCTATACCAGCATCCGTTCGTGCAGAGCTCCACATAAAAGCTCAATGACTCTAGCCAGAGCTCCATGCTTGATAGAGCTAGGCAAACAGAGCTGAGCTCTGTTTGACGGGCTCGCATGGCTTCTCTCAGCCTCTTCCTTCTTCCTTGCTCCACCCCCTCTGTTCTCCCTCCCTCTTCTTCTTTTTTTCTCTTCCTCGTTCCTTCTCCCTCCTCTTTCTTTCCTTCTTTTCCCTCTCCCTTCTCCCCCCTCCGCCTACTGCTGGCAGCCATAACTTGTGCCAAATTACAATTACAAACCCAACCCAAAAATCAAGTTTTCAGAAATCAGGTTTTTAGGCCATGATTTACCAACTAGAATAGTAAAATACTTATTTTGTAAATAACATCTCCAACTCCTGTTTTGGTTAAAAAAATAATAATAATCAATATCAATATAAATTTGCCTAGCAGAAAATGTACTAGAGCCAAATCTGGACCCAAGAAGCCTTGCACGGGCTGAAAAGGAAAGAAAATGGCTAGACAAACCCCTCCAACCTCACTGCGTAAGTCGATACCATGCCCTCCACGCAAGAATTCCCTAACCCCAGCTAAAATCCACCACATAGATCTTCCGTATTAATTGCACACAACCCATCTCTGGCCACCTCCACATGTCAACAAACCCCACTACTTTATAAAAGACTTAAAAGTCAACGTCCCATCTTTCCGCTTTCTCTGTTTATCCCTCTTTCCTGTTTGACTTTCCTTTGGGAGCCGGAGGATGTTGGGGTCTTTTTTAAATTATATTTTTATTTTTTATTTAGATAAAGTTTAAATTTATTTAACATATAAAAGTTAATTTTTCAGAATTATCTCCAATGGAATACTTTATTTTTTAAAAATTTTTAATCTTTAGAAGTCTTCCACCCCTTTAAGACTCATCCTGTAAAATAAAGAATATTTTATATTGAAATGGGAGAAAATCACCTTCAAATTTCAAAAACAATTTAAGATTGAATAGGCCTTCCAACCAATTTCAACCATATTTGAGAAGAGAATTGAGCATAAGAGGAGTTCTCATTCAACCTTGAGCATTCAGGCAATTGCCTACCGATCAAACATCAATAAATTCGCAATATCCAGCAACTTCAAAGATAAGATGATACCATAAAGAATTTGGTTTTGTACTACGGGTTACTATTAGGATTAGATAGGGTTCTCAAAATCTAATTATATTAATTGGGAAAGAGCTTCTAGATTTGTATTACCCGCCACCTAGGCAACATCCAACATTTTGTGCAGTCAAAGCCTC